TATTTCTCTGCTGATTCAGCAAACTCAGCCAAATCAGGGGTCCTGATTTTTTGGTCCCTAAGCCAGTGCAGAGGAGCAGCAGAGGGAAGGTGGTAGTAGAAAGAGTAAGACTGCCTTATTCTGGTGGCAGTGAGCCTTTAGGTTGGTCCAGCTGCATTGTAAAACCTCACCATGAAGCCCTCATGTTCCCATGAAAGCGGGGAGGGGGGAAAGACTTTTTTTTGTATTAAGAAATCAGCCTGCACAAGCAACAGTAGACACGTAGAACTTACTGTGCAGACAAAATAAACGTGTGGATGAATGGTGAACCAGTTTTTATAAAAATTGTTGTGTGTGTTTAAACTTTAGAATTAATAAATTGAAAGGGGTGTTGCTACTTTGCAGTACTAATGTCTTCGCACTGCTGCAGCCATTCTCTTCTGTGTTCCTGAGCACCCAGGTTGGCTTACATTAATCCTGAAGTTGAACTTTGAGTACCTGTGGAACAATGCTCTTGAAGAGGTGCAGTAATGTGAAACATGAGGTTTCTTATGCTAGCGCCCTTAAACTAGCAGAGAAACACAGATATACGTGCCTATGTCATTCCTACACATTACTGTAAATTACCTAAAGAGAACCTAATTACTTGAAAGTACTGTTTCTGTTTAAATTCACTGGTAATCATAGAAAGGAAGGAGGAGTTGTGTGCATTGTTATAGAATGTATATACTTTTTGTTATTATACTGTTGCGGTTCAACCTCAGCCAGCAGCTAAGCACCACGCAGCCGCTCGCTCACTCCCAGTGGGATGGGGAGGAGAATGAAAAAAAAGATAAAACTCGTGGGTTGAGATAAAGGCGGTTTAATAGGACAGCAAGGGAAGAGAAAATAATAACAATAGAATATACAAAGTAAGTGATGCACAATACAATTGCTCACCACCCACTGACTGATGCCCAGCCAGTTCCTGAGCCACGGTGCCCCCAACCAACTCCCCCAGTTTATATATTGAGCATGACATCATATGGTATGAAATACCCCTTCGGCCAGTTCGGGTCAGCTGTCCTGGCTGTGCCCCCTCCCAGTTTCTCACTGGAAGGACATGAGAAGCTGGAAATCCCTTGACTAATGTAAGCACTACTTAGCAACAACTAAAACACCAGTGTGTTATCAACATTATTCTCATGCTAAATGGAAAACACAGCACTATACCAGCTACTAAGAAGAAAATTAACTCTATCCCAGCCAAAACCAGGGCAGATAGAAATCAATCTATGTATTTACAGATTGAGAATAGAAAGGTTTCTTATACAAAGTTGTTGACTAGTAAACAAGAAGATAGAGGGATATCTTTCTACAGAAATCTTAAAAAGTAACAAAAATTAATACCAATAAAACATAAAGGATTGAAATCTGTTGTAGATCATACTGACTTTGAAAAAAACCTGAAGAAATATGTCACTTTGGTATTTGTTATCAATTCTACTTAGTGTATTCCATTACCTTGAGAGCTTTCTTCTTTTTAAAGAATATTTATTGCTTTTGTGTTTTCTTATTTTTGCTTGTTCATCTTTAGAGAAGTAAGTTTCTGATCTCCCTGAGCATTCCGTGCCTAGAAGAAATGTTTTCCATCCTTTTTCTTTTGAAATGTAGCAGCAAAAGTGCACACAATGATTTTTGGATTCTTGTTAGGGTATTATTAACAACATTAGTTCCTCGAGTCAGTTTTGCTAACCTCTGCCCTTCTGATTCAATATAATTTGCAAAGATTGTTGGACATTTGCATATAATATTTTGTTAGCAAGACCATCCTTGGGAAAAGTTTGATTCAGTATTCTGCTCTCAATTCTTATGTTTAGATAGGAGTAACTAGGGAAATGCTGGCCTGTGTAACAAAATAAAGCATTGCATTTCAGGTGGTGAAACATGCGGTTTTCAAGGTAGTCTGGGCATGTGTTGTGTGTTTGTGTTTCCTTTTTAAAATGCCTGATCATGTCAGGGAGAAGGGTTCTTTTATCTCATGTTACTGCTGTACAGCTGAGGGTCTGTTCATTTCCCTCCAATAATCAAACATCCATTCAAAGTAAGAGCATCTTGCATTCGGAATACATTTATTTAATTATAATAGAGTCAGTATTTCATTAAGCCATGTTTGTTGTTACATGGCTTTGTGGAATGAAGAGCAGAAGCATTCAGGGTAGCTAACATTTTTCATAGGCTGGGTGAAGTGACTTTGTTTCTGCAGTGAGCAATGTTTTCAAGTGGAAAGTCTGTTTTGTATCATCTGAATGGAAGTAGGTTGGAGGCAGTCTTGAGTCTTGATCCAGGTTTTGGAGCCTGAAAAGTATCACCTTGGATTTGGATTCCCCTCCATTCAGTGCTTCCCTTGGGCACTGAGAGCATATCTTTGCATCTCATGCTTTTTTTTGTTCTTATCCACCTGTTTGTCTTTAACACTCTTTTTTGTTTTGTTCGTCTTTGGCCCCAGTTTCTCTGTTGGGAGACAAAGCAGCGGAGCTGCAATAGGGGAAAACCTTTGTGTGTTGCCAGCTGAAGGCTCTTGTTCAGATTTTATTCTACAGAGCACAAATCCCTGTGAAACTGGCTTCAAAGTGAGGCTGCCTTTGCTTTGCTGAGCAAAGAACTTCAGCATGATTTTTAGATCCTTGTTACATTATTAAAAGCAATAGTTCCTAGAGTGGCCTACTTAAATAAACTTTGCAGGTAGTCACAAGCATAAGTGGTTGTTCGAATGGTCGTAATTACCATAAGCTTTATGTTTTAAAAAAATACATTGTTTCTGATAACTAGTCAGAGCACATGGGCAGAGACTACACATAGCACTTGCTGGTTTATTAAATACTGTCCTACCTTACACAACTGAAGTCTAAAATGACAGCTACAAAGTGCAGCAGTCCACACTGAGGTCACGGCCATACAGGCAGAGTCCAAAGCCTTGAGAGGCTACACAGCAAAGCAGTTAGCAAGAAACTCCACCGAATTCTGCTCGCTCTGGTGTGTGCCTGGGCCCGCTGCTGTTGGAACTCGATGGGGAAAGCTGATCCTGTCGTTAGTTCAAGGCAGCAGGAAAGCAGGGCAGCTGTGCCGCAGTTCTGCGACTAGCTGAACAAGTTTCGTTACTCACTCTTCCTCAAAGTAAAAATTTTCACTGCTCCACGTTTCTCTCTTGATACTGTTCTCGTGCAGTTCATCCTTTCCTCACGCTGGATCTGGTACTCATTTGACTGTTGTGTGAGCGATTGCCCTTCATGTTTTGCCGTGTAGGTTAGTTGCATAAACACATGAAAGAGTCCAAGAGGCATTGGAAATAGCATAAGGTAAGTAGCAGAACTGCATGGCTGGGAGAGGCATTTTAGGGACCACGAGCTATGAGGTTGGCTCTCAGCCTTGTGCAGTTGCATCCAAAGCAGGAACATCAGTAATCTGTGGCAGGGTCTGCAATTAAATTAATTTCCTGTATTGTAGAATAAATATCTTACTGTACATATGCTAGCTTACTGTGAGATGGGATGATGGTTATATATATAATATTTTATATTTATTATTTTATATATTATTTATTATATGTATGTTTATTATTTAGCTGTTTTTTTTTACATAAACCGTAGTTATTGTAGAGCTGAAGCTCCTGCTAAGTGTGTAGACGTTACTAAGGAGAATAGCACGGCCTGAACTCCCGCCACAGTTTCACAAATATATTTTTATTTTCTGTCCTGGCTTAAGCAGCCTCCTTCCTCCAGCTGCTTGTTTCCAGTCCTGTACAACCCCTCACTTGCCAGCACACCTGTTTGTAGAGCCACGTGATAAATTAAACTGGAGAGTTGGTCTTGACTGAAAACAACTACAACCAAAAAAATCCCCTTCCTTCCCCTCACAGACAGTGGCTGGGCAAACAGTTACATGTGCAGCAAGGGGAAGATGAGATAATGCCACATGCGATGGTGTTTTTGTTGAAAAAAATATTTAGAATATTATAGCCTTATTTGGAGCTTTAAAGTGCCAGTAAAGCTACTGTGGATGCACTAGCTAATCATACTGAACCTGCGTTGCCAGAGCAGCTATGCCTGTCTCCTTTCTCAGCCTGTGCTCGACTGTTTTTGCATGACATCCCAGCAGAAGCCTATTGCCCTTTTTGTTGGCTTATTTTTCTGCTGACTTAACATAGAAGCAGTTCAGCCCGGAGTCACAAAAACACCAGAGCTGGTGCAGAGGAGGGTGAGCTGGGACAGCCAGCAGCGAAATACCAGTCTGTTGTGTAGATCCCACCATTTGTGTCTGTGTGCCATGGCCAAGGCAAAAAATCTTCCCAAAATGTTCTTTTTAAATTTATTTTTAAACCTTACTTTCTGTCTCTGGTCTTCATTGCCTGTTTCTCTGCTTGCTTTGCAGCTGGAATTGCAACGTGCTGTGCCTTTTGAGTAGTGTCGGTTAACAATGAAGTAGACAGTCTGGTTTAAACAAAAATCTAAACAGATTTAACCGTTGAGTCCCGTTGTGAACTCTCACTTGTTGAAGGCATTCCCTGCTTCGGTTTCAGGTATCCAAGTGAATCACAGGCCCTCATTAAGGTCAAGATAGCCTAAACCTTTTAGCTCAGCTTGTCCATTCCCTCTTCCCTGAGCCTTGTTGCTACGTACTGACAGCTCAGTCTTTTTGCTCTAATTTTGAGTTCTCTCGGTACGCGTTTTGCCA